GTGAAACAGATTTTATTGATCACTCATACACATATATAACTAATCACATATTTACAAATATACACATTCAAATATTACTATATTTTAATATATAGAACCCATAAACGTTCGAAAAATGACCCGTATTTATTAATCGCGTTTTATTATAATTATTTGTTATGTAATATAACATAAAAATTCAATGTATCATCGAGTTAAATACAAAAAAAAACATAAAAAAAAATAAACCAAATAAAACTTCAATTTATCTCCTTCCAAATAATTCCACATACATATATCGTACAAGTAACACAAAAGAAAATGTTAACACTTCATTTTTTTTTCTAAAGGAGAGAGCACGTGTATTTTGAAACCAAGAAGTACTTCCTCCTAAATAAAAAAAAAATGAAATTTTAACATTTTTTTTTTTTTTTTCATTAGAAATTCTTTGGGAAAACGCGATTCGCCCGCAACTTCTATTCCAAGTTGTGGAACTATCCCAATTTCAAATTAATCATTTAAAGAAAGGATGTACCATCAACATAATGAAAAAGATTCTGCAATATCGATAATCGAATATATAAAAAGCAATTAGTAAAAATATGTTCATCTCTCTACAGGATTTTCTTTATAATAGCACCAATACATGCAACTCCCACCTAAATTATCTTTCATATTGATTGTTTTTTTTTTTTAATTATGTTGACTGGTACAATTTCTGGTACAGAGTATTAAAGAGAAGAGAAAAAAAAACACACAGATGAACTACTACTGGCAGATCAGAAGACGACACTTTCTAAAAAAATTAAAGTACAACGACCTACGATCACAAATGCATGGTTATTTCCTCTTGCTTTATTGTTAGTTTCTTTTAAATCTAAATATGCATCAAATACGTCTTCCGTTTCTGCAGTAATTTCGCACGATAATTAAAGAAAAAAAAACATAATATATATATATATATGAAGTGAAACAAATATGGAAAAGAAAATATAAATTCAGATAAATAGGAATGTGACTTAACACCTAAAGTAAGATTAAATTTAAGCGTATTTTGAAGAAAAAATCGTCTGAACCCTTCCAAAGCCGCTTGAATTTAAGCCGGATTAGCTTGCACCATTGATTCGTTTTTATTTAATTATTTATTTATTCAAAAAATTGTTTCTTTTCTTTTTTTTTAATATATATATTCAACATACAGAGGCGAAAAAATGTGAACACCTTCAAGAAATTAAACAGAAAAAAATAATATGAACGAACAGCATTTCTCTTTTGCAACAAGAAAATTCAGTCTTTGAAATAAAACAAAAATGATTCATATAAAATTAGTAAGTATTACTGTAGTATATATAAAAAAAATATTTTTTAGTTTAGAAAATTGAAAAAACTTTAGTACAGGAAAGAATTTCCAATTTTTTTTTTGATAATAATAAACTAATAGTTATAAAAAAAAACAAGAACATGATTTAAGTCATTGTTTCATTTGTCGTGAAAAAAAATAATGATAATTGAAATGTATTTCTACAAATTTCAACATCGTAAAAATATAGTATTCGATTTCCATACTAGGTTAGTTTCTCTTATAAGTGTTCATTCTTTTCGTTAAGTACCTATAACTATACAAATATACAACATATTTTGTTGATGGACACGAGAGTGAATAACAACAAAACTAACGGTCAATTTTGTACAGAAAAACAAAATCATAAAAAATACTGATAGGTATATACATTTAAAATTAAAACCAGGCGACAGAACTAAAAGTCTCCTTTAAAAAAAAAACATGTTCTTCAGGTTCTTCCGCAAACTTTGAATAATGCTGTTGATTAATTATTAAATTGTTCACTTTGTTGATTTGCGAACTAAAAGAAGATAAACAAAAACAGTAAAGAGAGCTTTATAATTTACGCATCATCATTATTATTTTTTTTTAATATTTCACATTGGTTTCTCTCCTCATTATTATTTTTTTTGTATAATTTTTCCCTTACATAACAGCCTTTGTTAATTAGTTTATTCTGTTTATAAAACATACACTTATTCACGAAACTAATGGAGTCGACTTCAAATATTGAAAGTTATTATTATTATTATTACACCAACTTGACACAAATACTGATTCTTCTTCATGCTTTCTTCGATTAAATGAACAAATATAAATTCCAGAATGACTAAATAAAAAAAAATACAATGAAATCCAAGAATCTGGCAGACTCAATCTAAGCCAAGAAGACAGGACAGATAGCTTCCGATACATTGTGAATTAAAAGTATTTACACATAGAACTAATCCAAACAAGTATGAGCTAATCCATGATTAACGAATGGTTTTAGGAAAGACAAGTCGTATATTATTTGTGCAAATCGGATTTTTTTTTCTTTTTGCCAATCGCAAACCAAAACAGATATCCAAGATTATTCATCCGAAAAGACAGCATGTATAAGTACTAATCACACACAAAAAAAGAAAGAAAGAAAGAAAACATATCCTTTGCTTTTTTCCATTGCACGTAGTAAAAAATAATGTCATATTGTTTTTGTTATATATAATGTATATATAAGTTACTAAAAAATACTAAACAGCCTCTTTTTCTTTTATATCCTTACAGACTAAGTGGGTAAATTACAAATAATAAAATTACAAGAAAGAAAATAATAAATTAGAAAAACATTACCTAAGCTCCGAAATTTTAATTAATACAAAAAAAAAAAACAAGACTAATTTTTTTCATAATTATTATTTTTTGTTTCCTTTTCAAATATAATTTTTGTATTCGTTTTTTTTTTATATATATATATACAACTGAACGAAAACCTCACACGTCCTTACAATTTCCTTTTTTGATACTTTTTTTTTTTAATTAATCATATATATTATTTTTTTTGTAAATTTTAAATTTATGTTTATTTTATTACATACGTGTTTTTTTTTTATAAAGCCCTAACAAGAAAGTGAAACCGAACACAATAATACTATAATTTTCATCAGAAAAAAAAAATAAAGCAAATATATATATCCTCGCCTTGAGTGTTCAGAGTGACAATATAAAAAAAAAATAGAAAAATTAAATAAAAAATAATTACGATAGTAGTATAAAAGGCAATATCATTCATCATGGAAGTAATTAGAAATAAATAAATACATTTTAAGACAATATTTTGTAAACGTCCAATCTTTTAGTATGAATAATCGTAAGTATAATAAAAAGTCGAGCATCATTGTCCTCTTGTAATCATAATTAAAACCATTCTCCATGAAATCAAAGCGGGATTTTCTTAATTATTTACCTTAAGCAAATCAAGAGTCTAAATACTTCCAATCACAATGAACCCCCTGTCAATTAAAGAGTGTTGTTTTGCTTGTTTTTCGCACATAAACCTCACCAAGAAAGGATGAAGAGAAAATAAAAATATTTTTTTTTAGTATATATATATATATGTCGTTCTGTTCGGATATACATATATACAGGTTGGCCTGGCTTTAAATATATTGTTTGTTTTTTTTTGAGTTTGCTTTTAGTTTTTTTTTTTTACATACAGCGCGACGTGTTGATCCTTTGCGGCCACCATCCTCGTAGACTCAGCCGTCCCGCGTACCATCTAGAACGCGGGCTATAACTTAGGCATCACGTCACTTCCATCACAAGATTGTTCTTCCTCACGATAGACTTGGCTTTGCTGGTCGGCGATGATGAGCCTGGTTCGCATTGACTCACTTCTTGGGCGTTCACTGGATCTGCATCGGTAGACATAGGAATTTCTAAAATGTTGGCACTGTAACACGAGTTATGAAAGACTTTAATCTCGGAAAAGTGGACAATTATTGAATTATTCGACATACCTATGACTATTGTTTATCGATACTTTGTGTGCAGAGGTTCGCAGCTTTAACGCATAAGGTATCCCCCCTCCTCTAAAGCCAACTTCATAAGAAACAGAAAAACAAATATATTAGTAACAATGTTAAATAGAAATAATAACTTAATTCTTAAATAATATAAATTTAAAAAAATATATCCTAATAAATGTAATCCAAAATTGACTTAATGTTTTAGGAATATCTTTAAAATATATACCTGTTGATCATCGTTATATTGACTTTGAGATTATATAGTTTCGTGTTTTGTATTTATTTTGAAAATCCTATTTGTATTAGTAAGTATGTTAATTTTTTTTTAAAATCATGAATGAATGATTATGTGCAACTCACCGTCCATTAATTGTGTGATACCATTCGCTGTGCCGATAAAATGATCCGCATTGGATGATGAAATGGTATGTGTATTATGGGTTCTTGATTTAACATCGGGCTGAACGTTAACACTATTTAACTTAGGACTAGTCAAGGTACTTGCAATATAAGAATGTTTTTTGGTCAGGTGCGCGGAGCCCGCCACGTCATACATACTAAACTTGGAGCAGCCCACTACACCACTATCAACAGCGTCACCACGATTAGACACGGAAGACTCACAAACCGACGGGAATAACAATGAAGACGACGACGACGTCGATGACAACGACGTTGTGGTCGCGCTGGTGGTCGTCGTCGTCGTCTCCGACGGAGATGTTTGCCGCGTGTCCGTCACCGGCACTTCCATAGAAATGTCATAGTCCAGCATATACGGTGCACTGATAAAAGAGGAATCGGTAAAAACGTCCGTCTCGTCCAGAGTTTTCAATTCTAGAGAGAACGGTACGTTGGCACTGGGAAAACAGAAGTGGTCCTCCGGCAACAAGCTGCTGGGCGGAGACCATTGGGGCGGTGGCGTTTTCGGACGAAAATGGTGCCTGCGCAAAGAAAAACATTAACAACGTTGAGCAGAGTTTCGCCATCGCGTATGAAACTAACCATTCCTGCCGTAAGGCTTTGAACACCTCGTCATCCTTATTTTGTATTCTATTAACCTCCTGCATCTGGACGGACTGCTGCTGCGTGTTGCATAGACCGTTCGCAGGGACGGTCTGTTGTGCTGGTTCCACCTTGATTCGTTTCAAGTAGTTACCGTCCGCATGTAGATAACTATTACTAACATCACCACATGTCCTAACCTCCATCTGTTCACTTTTAATATCAGTTCTTGCGACATTATTAACTACATCTAAATTAGAATAACAGTCACTTTTCACTTCGCGCCTTTCGTTCTTATACTGCTGCTGCTGCTGCTGGTGTTGTTTAGTAGAATCGTATATTGTATAATCGACTGTCGACCAAAAGTCATCCGTGCCATCCATTGCCAGTCTGTCCAAAATGACTCGACCACCTCTGCCCATTCGGCGTCGTGCTAAACCTACGCACCGTCGATTCGATAGCGATGTCAAAGCATACCTAAACCTCTTCTGAGCTTGTCCGTTCTCCTCTTTCGAACACCACGGCCAATTACCTTCAGATGGTAAGGGCTAAAACAAAATATCAAATATAAATCTTCTAATATATCGAATGACTACAAGAGTACTCACCATGTGATAGGTACATAGTTTATTCCGACGGAAGGCGAATTGACCTTCGTCTTCCTCCACCTCCGGTTCTGGGGAGGCAGTGGGCACGGGCTCCTCATCCGAGGACACCGCGCTCATTGTCTCCATAGTAGCGGGTCCGACTGCTCCAGCTATCCGATTGTGCGGTTTATGCTTACGCCTCTTGTACTGTCTTTTTTCTTTCCGTTGTATAACCTCATCTTTATGAATAGCCTTATTTCTCCAGCTCCCGTCGGTAATATGGTTGTGCAAAATGGGCGTAAAGGCGGGTCTCATGGACTTGTTGTTGTTCATCACCTCTGCAGCGACCAAACCGCTGAAATCCTTGGCAGTGTATCTCTTCTCAAACACTTCCACCGTCAGGTGCAGGTACTCCCGTTTCATCTTCTCCCTCCGTTTGATAAACTCCAGCAGCGTCACAGCCCTAGTAAGGTCACGGCGCAATTTCAACATCTTCTCGTACGATGTTTCGTCATTCTTTCTGTTCTTCCGCGTCTGCATCTTCTCAGTCCTCCGTCGGAAAGCCAGGTAGGGATTGTTCACAGCCGTTCCCGACCTATGTTCCGTCTTCACAGCCAATAACAACGGATGCTGCTATAAAAAAATAAATAAAACCAGAATATAAATACTATTCAAATTTGCACCCATTCAATTACTCCTAGATCGTACCAATGTCAAGCGTTTATTCAGCCAGTAATCGAATACTGCGATAATGAGATCATCATCCTCCTTGAGCAGCGCCTTCGCCTCCTGCAGCGAGACCACTGTCTGGCCACTGTTCTTCTCCAACCGATCCATCATCTCCTCGAACTTCAATGGATTTAAATCCAGCTTTTTCGCCTGAAGGTCCAGCCACCTTTCATCTTCGGAATCCATATCGTAATCCGGTATGTCTTGCTCCATGGTAAAAGCTAAACACAAAATAGAATATATTAAAATATAGAATTATACTACATAAAAATTGTTTCAGTCATTGTTGATGTACAGGTTATTCGACTAACTACGCTACGTTCAAGTATTTGGTATTATAAAATGGAAATTAACACAGAATTTCATAAATTTTTACACCCAACAAATTTTTGGATAACTGAATCAGACATCTTCGTCAACCAAACCAAATTAAATCGTAATTCTTACTAGGCATGTTCAAAAGGCGTGTACCAACCACTACACCTCAAAGAGTAAATATGTAAATATACAATCTAATTATGGTTTTGTGTACTATTTTTTTTTTGTAGGCTGTGGGTGCATTATAATGCGTAAGCTGTCTATCCATTTATAATTTGGGTTGCTAACTAAATGAGATTAATTATTTTAAATATACATATATATTGGATGTCTGAAATATATATTTATCGAAACAACAACGTACGCTGCATGTGAATGAGTTGGCGGGGTTGCTTGTAGTTGGCGGGATACAGTTTGTCGTACACCTCCTGTTGTGGTATGTCCGATACCTCTGGAGTCGGGATGATGAGCCCCGCGCATATTGCTCGTTGCAGGTGATGCTCCTAAAAAACAAAAAAGAGTAATTACTAAAACACCAATTATTAATAAGGCATCTATTTTAGTAGCCAGAGCTGAAGTATGAGAAATATAAGAATTTTAAACATTATTTGTTCAAGAAAATAAACACGAATGCTTTCATCCCAGGCAAATATTTGTCCAACAATTAGTATAACGATATTCGGTAGATTCGTTTTCGAAAAGAAAAACCCGTTCAAATAAAAATAAAATCTATTTGATAGATATAACCGGAAATGCTTTTATTCGAATATAACGAATCGAAAAATTATGTAATAATAGTGCGCCGGCGGCTGAACCGTTGTTTACAATTCCATATGTTGGAAATTAATTAAAATTTATATTTGCATAGCGCCAACATAAACATGAAGTGCATATTAGCGGAAACAAAATCATTGAAATATACAAAAAAGAATACAAATTAATTGTAATTTATATTCATAAAATGAAAACCTAAAATCATATAAAAAAAAATATGCAATATTAAAGAATATTCCAAATCGAACGTGTTTTATTTTAACCCTTTGTTACCTGAACATAGTTAAAATGAAAAAAGTATAAAATTTCTTTGGATTTCTTTTAAAATATATTAAAATTTAGTTGCATTTAAATTTCAGCAATATTTTGAATTTTAAGCATAAAACGTATAATAAGTGAATTATAGTGATTTAGATTACAAAAAAGGATCATATATACATTTAGTGACAATATTATTTTTGTATTCTGCTATACAAAAAAAAACTAAACAGAAGTGACAAGTATTACTTGAATGTAGATTTATACTCGCTTGGTGTTTCCTATTGCAAAACAAATCATATTTGTATACAATATAAAGATTACATTTAAGTATTTAGATCTGTTTCACGTCTGTTTATAATTTAAATAGTGACTTAAATGTGCCGGTATAGTCAGACGACATAGGGTTAAAATAGTAAGTATTTCTTGCTGTATAGTGTTCTTTCTTAAGTTAATGTTCGATCTCATAGCCTCCGACCAAACGTACAAACATAAGTATGAACTTACAATGATGTAAATCGAACCAGACGGCGGCTATGTGGAACATTCTTATTATGTATTTGATTACATGTTAAATTAATTGTATATTATTTGTATTGAAAATATATGTACTGACTTATTTGTACTTAATTATTTTAAGTATTACCATTACAAGTAATACATTTAGAAGTTGTCTAAAAAAAATTCCCGATCAACCTTTGGAAAAGCGAGAATTTCAATATACAAAATTATATAAAATTTATAATTGAATACCTTGGGCAAAACGACTTCGGTCAATATCTCTTTGGTCCAATAAAAATGCGTACCGTATCTATTTCATTATATGTTTTCATGTACTATTCTTAAATAACTTCATATAAAAATTATATTAATAATAATTATATTAATATTTAAAGTATGCAATTAAAAATATGATAAAATAAATTTTGAAGCAATAATAAGAAAATGTTTAAACGGTTTATATTTAACGAGCTTTTATGTAATCGAGTATAAATATTATTTATTTTTATTTTGCGTGAACTGCCATTGGCGCAAATGGCATATGGCCAAGCAAATGTTTCTGCCAAATCATGGCAATACAAATCTTGGTAAATAGAAAATACCGGTTTGAAAAATTGAAAAAAAAAATATATATATGCTCACAGCAATGCATGAATTCGCGAGATGGCATCCGAATTGAAATTATTAATTTCCTGTTACATATATACACGTTCAAATATCCGTACGAACGAACAGACAGTCGACATGTAGTATTCATATTGTCCATTTAAAGTTCGTTCTAGCCAATTTCAAGCATTATCTGTTTGTTTTTTAGCTGAAACTTGTTTTCTTTTTTAATAAATATATAATCTTGGACAGAAAGACCTCTGCCTGATAAATAAATATATAATCTCACGGTACGACCGAAATTAAACTGAATTATATTAATACATACGATGTTGTGGGTGAACAGTAAAATGTACATTCGTACGAACGAAGAGTCGAATATGTAACAAAATAACGTAGAAACATATACATATAAGTCTCAAACTTTCGACATCTGTGCAACCCTTCTGCACCCCTCGTCAAAAAAAAAATCGCATATACTTTAATAACAAACATAAATATGAAGTTGAAAAATGCAAGATGTATTTCAGGACTTTCTCTGTTAAAACTCGATACACATGTTGCATTTGCAAGCAGAATGATGTTAAAGTACTCTCCTTATGCTTAGTTTTTAATAATCCGTCTGTAGCTAATTCCAACAATTGCTCCTTTTCCGCTTGAGATAAACCTTCTGGCATGGACGTTGTATCTTATTTTTGTTTAAATCACATGAATATAGTTTTTCAGGTCCACTTGTAAAATATCTGAATGCTTTTCTCAGTATAATTTCAGCATAAATTTTACCAGCCGATCATGTCAAAAACTCATGAAGATAATCTTGAATGTTGAGGATTCAAATTATATCAAACTCTTCCCGTCTCCCAGAGGATACGCGTATAACACTTTGGGAAACACTGATATAAGCTAAACAATAAAATTGTCTTTTTCAATAATTTTAAAACTAATTAACGTACATTTGTGTACAAGTAAACTGAGGTCTACCTTGTATTTAACATTTTTCTATCCATAGTAGTCATCGAAGTCCAACAAGAGTATTTTGTAATATTTATCAGTGGTTTCCAAAGAAAAAATTATATATTAACATAGAGAAATATCACAAAGGGTACTCGTTATACCAGTGATAGCGTTGCATCACGGAAATTTTTCAATAATAGTTTCTAAATTAAAAATCAAACGAAAAATTAAAACATCAAACGAGCAGAAAGACAGTAAATTATCGATGCAAGTGACATTATTATAACATTATAAAACAGAAACTGTTACGTTGAAAACGTTTTTTTTTTATCGCAATTTAAAAATATTCCCATTTATTAGTATATTTTACTTTTTTTGTATCAGATACTTTTTGGGACAAACAAAATGATTGGGTCGCTCATAACAAAAATTAACATGGTTCACTAAGATATTTAGCGCACAGTGCAAATACTAAGTTTTACAAAAGTTTCAAAACTAGAAAAAGTCAATATTCATAATTTTACCCTTTTGTTAGTATGACACTACATGAGAAATATTATAATCAGTTATAAAAATAAATAATATTTATAGAATGTTCATGATTATAAAAATATGTACTTATTTAGTTAATTATATGGAAGAGTTCATAATTTATGATTATTTATTTTGAATTTGTGTTCCTTTAATCTGACAAAAGTCATTATTTTATGCAATACAGTGGAACCTCGCTTAACGAGCATAATTCGTTACAGAAATTCCTGATTTTTACTCGTATAGTGAAACAATTTTCCCCATATAAACTAATGTAAAATACGAAAAAGCGTTCCATGTCGGTAAAACAAAGTATAACTTGGTCTCGCTTTTTTAATGATTTTGCTTTTCATATCTATGCAAGTGTTATTAAATTTTTCAAAAACACAAATAACAAATATAAATACAAATAATATATGAACAAAAGTTTTGAAAATGATGTAGCAGACGCACAATTTGAGACCTCTTCTCGTCACTCGTCATGCTCATTAACCGAAATGCTCGTTAATCCATGTGCACGTAAAGCGAGGTTCCACTGTATGTGTTAATATTATAAGACAGCTATTTTAATCATGAAATCAATTATTAGTAGAACCTGTAATAGATCCAGTTCTTTTTTTAATGTAAAGCACATTTCATTTTATTCTCAATTATCAGATCATAATATTCTCTAAGCGCTAAACTCAATGATAATATCAAAAATATTAAATATGAAAAGTAATATACATAAAGAATGTTTCTCCATCCCGTAACGGTCATAAACCTATCGCAATGCTGAGATGGGTTACTGGAGAGGATGCTTCTCGAGAGATTCAATTTCTGAAAACTTGAGATATAAATTCTAAGAAAGAAAAAAAAATGGAAAAGGGACTTGCCGCTTACAATGCTTAACAGAAAAAAAAAAGGTTTTAACCCAAGAAAAAGGGAAAAATAAGGAGATAAGCCTCTTTTACAATTTCGAATTGAAAGTAACATAAAGCGTGTAACTAATCCGTGCGGATACAAATGCGGAATGAAAGCACATGTTATGGATAATCGCGGTTTTCTTTCTCCGAACGTCTCGGTTTGCGTTAATTAAAATTGAAATGGGTTTCCCCTTTTCTATGTGTCTAGAAACTGTACTCGTCTTGTCTTGGTATTAAGTCTCATACTGAATTATACACATCGTCCGACCATCATAGGCAGTAAAACCATTCGTATAATTGCATTTTCTTGTTTTCCGCAGAGAGTTCAAAAATAATTAACTTTCGAACTATTTTCATATAAAAGTAATTCTTTATGTGTAGTGTTACTTTAGTAAATGATATATATCATATTTCATTTGCTATAGTCGAACTTTTTGTTTTGATAAATAATAACTATAACTAGTAAGTTTTGCTATACTAGTCATAGCTACTACTCACAGCCCACACATTTCGCGTTATATTTAACTGAAAAAATAACTTGTAGGAAGTTATGGAAACATAAATTTTCTTTTTAATGTATACATTACATATTTTTACACATTAAATGTAAATGTCATTAATCAATGGCATTTAATATGTCGAAATAGGTTGTCAATATAAATACACATACTTCCTATATAAAGTTTTTTGTATTATCTAATCAACAACATTTACGTATTTGTCACATTTACTAGAACTAAACATATATTCAACAATACCTCAAATAGTGCTGCTTCGATCAGTCTTGCATTCAATAAAATTGCAAAACAAACAATTTTAATTGGGAAAATAAATTCTGAAATTATTTTTTTTCCCATTATACAGTAACGTTTTTCTGAAACAAACTTATATTTACAATTACGCAAACTAAATCTTTGCAGTAGAGTGTAGACTGAATGTAAAGTTTTGGGCGAAGCTAATTACGTGGTATATCACCCTCGCGTAGGTAATTTTTGATTGATCGCATTTCGAGTCCGTATGAGGGTGGAAAAAGCCGAGTCACAATTTCCATTAGAAAAAATATTTAAAAAAAGAAGGTGTAGTTAGAGCTACGACTATAATAAATTAAATTGCAGCCCGCCGTCAAGAAAAGAAAATTAAAAAAAAAAGGAGGGAAGGTAATTACATCCTGTTTCACTCTAAATTTTCCTACATCATAATATTTTATATTAACTCGATTTTACTTTAACATTGATAATTTAACTATCATCGTTGTTTTCATTTAAACATTTCTACTTTATAATAAGGAATATAAATTCTGACACAAACTAATGTTTACTGTTTATATTTATGTGGTTTTAAAGTACTCAGAAAAAATTAAGAATATTGGCGGAAACAATTACCCGCACTATGCGAGGTATCCTTTGAGAAGAGCAGCATTTCTCAACCACTAGTCACGCAAAAAAATAAAAATATAGAGCTATTTTTTCACAATAGTAATTTTTCTAGCATAATGTTGTCACCGTTCCGCTTTTAACACTTTGTTAATTTTGTCAATATCTTGGACAAATTTATAAATAATCAAATTTTTCTATTATTGTTTAATTGGAAATAATTACTCCTTATGTGGTCCCACGTTGGAACCACTGGCACACAAAGGATTTAAAAAAAGTTATTTTCCGGCCCACATTAACTTTTGGGTTGAAGAACACTGGTATAGAAAGTTTTACAATACAATACATTCTTTTTCACAATTGCATCTAAATTCAAAGAAAATTACCTCTCGTCTTGTATTTTTTTTTTGTCCTCGAGACATGAAAATTCTTCGCATTTACCAAAATGGACTCAGGTAAAGAAATATTTATTTATTTTCAACACCTGCAGCCACTACTTGTTACTCAATTTCGAGAATTCCACAGAAATATGTTTTGGCGCCAAAAGTGATTAACATCCACGCACGTAGAGCGACGTCCGATTGATGTGATACAACATATTGTTCGGGAATTAATTTCTACGAAATTTCAATGAGATAATTTCAGTTCGCATTCGCAAAGCAAGTTGGTAATTGGCTCACTGGGATTTCATTTACGCAATAATCTCGTTCACCTACTAATTAATGAGCCCATTTGTTCAACGCTTATTATAAAGTTACAAAAACAGGAAACAAATTTTACCATTTGAAAAGAATGACACTTTGAACTATACTATTAAATATATTTCATTCAATTTTAACAATATATATTAGGGAATAAAAACGACGCTACGGTACTAAGCCAAAGTGCATATAATCCAATCGATGATTGAATTCATTATAAGCCAATATTGATTTTGGGTTTATAAAAATAGCATAGCCATTGGGGGTAGGCAAACAATGGAATAGCATTTCGTGTCGACATTAATATGATTTTACTGAACGCGTATCCACGCTCTTAGTTATGAAATAATCAAATTTGATAAAGCACAAAAAATATTTAAAAAAAAACCTTTGAAATTTTAGATTAAAATTATCAATATTTTAATGCAACTTTCACATTACACTTCCTTCAATGTTTAGAAGTTAAACTTCAAATTTTATAATTCGTATAAAATATAGAGGAAATTTAGTAGTAAAAATACTATTAATACTACGATTAATTAGCTCAGAATTCATCCATTTAAGGTTCGTTAATATAATTGCATGTTATATGTTTCATATATCATTAATGATATCATAGGAAATTGCATGGAATTGTGTATGTCAATGTTTAATGAACAGAGTAGTATAAAAAAAAGTATGTAATTCCAGTTCATATTTCCAATGACTCATACTATTTTTTATACGATCTCGTGCTACTGTATTATCTATAAGAGGTTACGAATGATTCTAATCACACAAAATTGAAGTAAACATTTCATAACAAATTATTTCGGTAGTTTTAAGATGATTTTTAAAGTATATTTACCAACATTTATTTGAACACAAGTAAATGATATTTAAAAAAAATAAATAAATATTATTATGCATACAATTTTGATATTTGGTTGATAGACCTTTGTAATAATTCTTTTTTTAATGTTTCAAATATTAATATTTTTTAGTTTTTTTTTTTAATAAAATACATCAATTCAAAGTATAAATTATGTAATAACAAATAATAACAAATTATAGTTTTATTTATTAAATAAATTAAAATTACTCCAAAAATTACTGAATTTTATCATAAATTTTAATATTTAATACTCGGAAGAATCGTATAAATTGTAATAATTTACAATTAGTACGAATTCCCGGACTTACGAACAAAATTCTAAAAGCTCTAACTTGTTAGAAGAAGATTTATAACTGTCCAAGCAAAAATTGATAATTTCTTTAATAAAACATAATATTTTTGGTCGTTTTTTTATTATTTGTATTCATATGCAATGTAATTTGCATACCATCATTTTGATTTTGTTGAATTTTTAGTTCGCAGTTTAATAAATTTCATTCACGAATAATGCTTAATTTATTTAGATCAAGTGGTAATTCCATTATAGATTCGTAAATTAACGTATATGATGCTGGACGTTGAAGTGTTTTGATTAGCGTTGAATGTAAAATAAATTGAATTGCTCTAGTACAAAAGTACTAAATCAAGAGCGAATTGATTGAAATACAAAAATTGTTATTTGAAGTAAATATCTGATCTTTTGAAAAACTTGATATAAAATGTAATACAGTGGAACGTAAGAAACGAGAATTGTAAGAAAAATGACTCGCTTAACGAGTGGCGATTAGAAGAGAAGTCCCGGATATACCATATCATGTGTATTTTTGAATATGTTTCACTATACGAGTAAAAATCCGAAAATTTTGGAACGGACTGAACTCGTTAAGCGAGGTTCCACTGTATAATTAAGTCAATGTTAAACTGAATTCATTAAAACCATAAGAATTAAGTAAATTAATTCCACATTAAAAAAACATAATAATAATATTTATTGCACCAGTCATACAAAAGCAAATAACATTGAATATGTATTAGTAATAAAGTCAATCATTAAAAACCATTTAAATAAGATCTTTCCACTAGTTCAAAAATATTTTCATAAAATAAATATCTAATGCATCAACACATTAATTTATAAATATATTAGGTACAGCATATTTTTTAGAGTGTACATTATTGTCAAAAACCTTTTTTCTTTTTTTTTTCAATAGAAATACTTTCTCTGAATATTTTGCTGACTTATATACAATTGTATTCGACTTTTTATTGTATTCAAATCAAAGAATGATAAACAATTGTTTTAAATTTCAAGAATCTAATATATGTTATAATTAGATGTGCAGTTTCATTCATTATTATTTAAATAAATTACATATAACAAGAAAATATTGAAAAAATAGGAAACACATTTTGGGGAAATGGATTTTAAATTGCTTTTACACCCTTGATCATAATGGGTAACATTTGTGTTCATTGAATATTTTCCTTGGAATTCAGTTATTTTGTTTGCATGATTAAACTTTTGATTATATTGTTATTTGTAATTCATATTTAAGAGATTGTCATCAAATTATTACAGTGGATGGAATTATGATTGTTTTGGTAATTTTGCAATAGTAAGACAACTGTTGTCATCAGGTTTATTGAGTGAAGAATTAGTGTTTTTGTTTTGAATGCACACGTTTTTGGATCGAGTGGTCGTAGATTAGACGGATGGATGATGGTTGGATAGATGTTTTTGGAGGGGTGCGAAAGATGAGTGAGAATAGATCGGTGACAGTTCGAGACTGACACTTGTGTGGATCTAGATTTGAATATTGCGCGTAAATCCGATATTGCAAAGGTAATTTATGGGTTTAATTGTAAGAAAAGGATTTTGAAATATGTTTATGCCGGTTGCGCATGTAAGCGCGAAGCGAATACAAGATGGAGGGCAGAGACGTCGGAATCGGGACTGAATTAGAACGTTCGAAACTTACACATTCCTCCTCTTTTTCCATTCCTGATGGCATTTGAGGAACTGCCCGATTGATCGCTGAATAATCAGGAAGATCCGGGAGTTCCTCTGCCATGTAAATGGGCATAGGCTTGCTTGCATCCAGGGCCCTCGCCCTAAATGAAAGCTTGGACATCTTTGTTGACAGGGAAAGAGATACGACAAGGCCAACATAAAATGATCCTGTTAGGGGACTTTCCCGGGATTCGGGCCGTCCAAGACGGACACTAAACGATACTTGACGTTCTCTAGTACGTTCCCATTGTTTTTGTTTACACTCACTCAGTCACAAATACAGTAAAACAGTGTTGAAACTTTCCATGTTGAGCGTGTATTACAGAAAGCCATCATGGCGGCCCTGCCATGAAACCATTTACTAGGAACATGCAGTGCGCGGGAAGCGAACACGCACTGACTAGCGCAGTACTCATTCATGCCGACAACCACCGGAATGTCCAATTTACTACATAACAACACCGGATCGCTTCAAAACTGAACGACATTTTCGATGGGACAGACGACACCGGTCCCAGAACACCCAGCACATTCACTTATCACATTTGTCTTCCCATCCACTGACATTCATTTGACCAACGTACTAGTTACACTCGTTCTTAGTTACGACGACTACCGAACGTACACAAACCCCGAAATCAAACGTTTCGCAATGGCCAGCAGTCGCCAGCACCCATCCAAATTGATGACTGCACGCTTTTCCACGATTCCCACCAAACGAATTTCACTGACATCACGTATTTTCCACCAATTTCCCTTCCAACCCTTGACTTACTACGCGATGGAGGGGGTACACCATTCACTTTCGGGTAATCCCCGCTACGCCACGACGGCGCCACTTACCCGGAAACGGCGTCATCATACACGTGGACCTACCTACCAACGGCCTCTGGGCCTCGCCTCGTCTTCCTCCTTACGACATCTACCACAAAACATTTCAAATACTGCGTTTCTAACAACATTCTCTTCTATCTCAAATTGCTCCCTTTTCCTCACGACATCACATTCCGAAGTATTTCCATTCATCATCAATTACTACACGAATAACAAAAAAATAAAAATAAACACAATTAAAACAAAACTGAAATTTCAATTCAAATGATAAATCTGCTGGTACAGGCTGAATAATTCAATTCTAAAAATTAAAATTTGAATGATTAATGCACAACGGGTTGCCTATACCAAAAAAAAATATATTTTAAACTGTGTTTCCAAACATTTTATATTCCCACTTTAGAACCATAAAAACACCACCACATCACAAGTGGGAATTATTTATTTAATCAAAATCAAAATATTAGAAACTTTGTAACGTAAATATAAACAAAACCAACAGTATAATCTCGAACAAGTGAAAGTACATATTAAAAATTATATAACAATTATGAATACGTATTTTTCACATATACAAATACAGTGGAACCTCGCTTAACGACAAAATAAATTATAAGGAAAATAAGCATTAGCTTATATGGGGAAAATTGTTTCACTATACAAGTAAAAAAAAATCGGAAATTTTGGAACGTTAAGCGAGGTTCCACTGTATATAGATATAATGTATGATACAAATATTAAAGGTACACAGGAGCACTTATTGATGGTCACCACAACCGTTAAAAAAATAAATTATTGGAATATGTACCAATTAGAACAGTTGCTAATAATGCATGAAATGATGTAATTCATAATATTAGTAGTTTTATCTGACACTAAATATTTGACTTACAATACAAGAATAAAAATATTTTGTTATTAGTTTGTTACTTAACTGTTGCTTAGGGTCGACGACAACCTTAATATGGCCCTGGCAGGTCCCCACAGTTAACGGTCCGTCCCTGGACTGGTCCACTTTAAATAATTTTAAAATATTTAAAACATACTTATAGAACAAAAATAATATATTAATTATTATAATAAATAATTGAAAGTAAAAGGCAAATGATAAATTAACTATCATTTAAACCCTTCTATAAAATACAAGTTAATCCCCAACATATTTGTATTATAATTAGCTATTATTTACCTTTCTAAGATATATATATTACCTTAAGTGCTGTAATAAAAGGTTTCACATCAAATAAAAATAATAAACTTCTTTTTTAGTCAATATTGGACCTGTATATTCTAAAGAATTATAAATGCTTGAACTTATGTTATATATTATAGTTGTACAAATACTTGAAAACCGGTAGCGTTTAAGGTTTCAATCCGCGAATACTTAAATCGTAAACAACCTCCTCGATCTTTTTTACATCATACTTCAGAACATCATAGCGCTTCCTTAACGAATCATTTTTCATGTTCAATAATCTGAAACCTGCGTTCAATTCGGCGACAAACTCAGATATTTGAAAAGGTTTCGTATAATCTCCGCACGTAACAGAATTCACGGCCAGCCTTGCCTACAATACATCATACATCATTTAATTAAAAAAAAAACCATAGACTTATTAATTGTAGAAAACGTATTAAGATGAAGTACAATTCCATTAGTTTTGAATTAAAGATTGAATCTTCAGATTATTACCATTTTCTAACAATTTCAATGAGGATTTACCAATTCTGATGATAAATTCAATATTCCCATTAAATAATCTTCCAATTCTAAATGGAATCCTTCCTTGGCATCATTCTTAACTGAAACAATTACAATGTTACTCTGATTAAAGGAGATGAATTATCCTTACTTCCTAATACAGATGCAGCAGTTTCTTTGGAAATCAACATTCCTACTTCTAAGAAGACTACCAGGGAGATCAAGAAGCACAATTTTTGTGCCACCCTCCTCCAGTGTTCATAGTATCTGTAATATTGACCTGCAGGTATAAGAGCTGCAAGTTTCTCAAAACCATTTCTAACATTCTGATATAATTCTCTGGCCTTTGAGCAACAATTGGGAACTAAAGTGAGAAATTTGTTAAAATAAATTATATTAACATTTGTGTCTACAACTCACTCTCACTTAGACCATTGTCTTGATGGATCACCTGCATAGTCATCATAATCTCCCTAGCAACCTTATCAATTTCATTGACGATTGACCGGATTTGCTGGAATTACATTCAATGAAAATTTATTACTGCGCGTTTCATGATTTTTACCTCTCTGGCATCTTGTTCATTGTCCAGAAATTCTTGAAACGATGTGAAAATGTTATTTATTACTATATTTGCCATTGCTATAGTTTAAGTTTAATTAACTGTGACTAAACTTGAATAACAAGTTGCAACGATCGATAAAATTACTAAAATGCACAAATAAACAATGGAACAACACTGTCGCAACAATTATAAAAATAAATCTAGGTATCTTTCATAACGTTGGCTACAATGCAAAAAAACCGTTTGAATTTAAATTAAATTTAGGATAATTCCAAAACTTGTAAACATTTTAAAAATAAACATTGTAGTAAATTGCACTTTATATATATACAAAAATCTTAATTAATTAGGAATTAATTGGTTTGAAATTATTAAAAAAAAATATATATTTTGGTTATTTTCAGTTGAAATGTCAAAAGTTTTTAAATGAGTTTTAACTGAATTTCAGCAATATTGTAAATGTTTTTTTCCAACATAAAACTTAATTAATAATTGAATAATATTCTCTGATATTCACGTAGGTATAATTTTATCTGCCTCTACATATACAATAGTTGTTGATACTTTTTTTTTAAGTGATTAGTGTTTATTTCATCATCTTTAACAACTTTTATCAACAAATAATGGAAAATGAACAGTGGAAGAAGGATGTTAAGTTGTTGGACAGGGTGGAGAGCAATCATTCACAAACACCTGTGTTCTATAAAAGTATTTATTGTAGTGTTTACTTAGAACTTAAGCTAATATATTATATTTTAGATAAACATCTTGCTTTAGGCCTGATTTATTTATCACTAGATGAATTGACTTCAATATACCATATCACAGAATCTCATGCTCCAGGTTTTCGATACCAAGCCTCATTATTATATGAAAAGTCAATTCAAGAGACTGACCACCAAATCTTACCATTAATGAAGGAAAACTTTGACGTTAATTGCTGTAACAAAGCTATAGATGAGAATATCCAAAAGATGTTGGAGAAGGTTGAGGAAATGCCTAAAGGTAATTTTACATTAAATGAATAATACATAAAAATAATTTCTCAAGACCTGTCACTAAAATATTTTATATTTTTCTTTTAAGAATGGACTTTAGTCCAGTTAACACCAGTTTTTAATCCACAAGAAAGTAATAATATAAATCCAAGCAATGTTTACACTAATCCCTTGCACATCACAATCTTCAACTGCGGACAAAATAAATCAAATCCAATTACTGTGTGTGTTGATGCACCTAGAGATAATGATGATAATGTAATAAATGTTATGGATATGATGTCAAAGTTGATTAGTGGACAGAATAATGAGTATAAGAAGTTCAAAGATTTCAAGAAGAATAAGAGCAGTTACATTGAGCATAGGAGAAGAATTAATACAGAGATGCAGGTGAGTCTTAAGTTGAATATTAATTTTATAAAATGTTGATGTTTTTTTTTTTTGTCTCATAAGAACATTGTTAAAGTCGTCCAAACCAAGTGGCTGAAAGAGTGGAGGGCGTTGTTAATTGGTAAATACGAGAATCCAGAAATCGAAGATGAACTTAATAATATGTTGAGCTTCTTATTGAAGCAAAATAATTTGTAAGTATTTTTTTTTTACATATTTTTAAATTAACAATGTTTACTTTTCTGTATTGATTTGTTTTTGATTAATTATTTAAATGAAATTTTAGACATATTGCCATAAACGAAAGGAGCCGAATTCTAATGAAGCAAATTATTAAGGGTCATTCGTTCATGGATTTGATACATCTCAAAAAGGCAATACAGTACGCTCTGCCGGACATCAGTTCTGATCAGTGCATAGGAATAACGAAAACATTGAATCAAATCATGCTGAAGAAGAACATATTCCACGGGGAAAAGCGGCATCCTGTTATTATTGTTGTACACGAGGTCAGTGTTTTAAAATTTTTAATTTATCAATTAATACTTTATGCATTAATTTATTGTAATAATCATGTTAGCCCGCGGAAAAGAAAATGGGAGGTATTGTTTGTTTGTTAATGCTTAGAAATGTACTGATAACATTGTAACTTTAGGCAATCGATAAAATCCCGTGGGAGATGATTGATGTCCTAGCTGATCATCCGGTTTGTCGCATGCAGTCGCTGCACTTTACATACGCCTTATACAAAGAACACGAGCACGACATACAGAATGGTTGGAAGATCATATCCAATCCCATCAAGGGTTCCTACATTCTGAATCCTAGTTTGGATCTGATGAACATGGAAGTACGGTTGAAAAGTTTCTTCAGCTACTGGTTGCCAAAGTGGAACTACATCATCGGAAAAAAACCCACGAGCGACGAATTTCTGAGTATACTGAGCGAATCCGATATATTTTGGTATGAAACAACGTTTAAGACTAAAGTAATGTGATTGTATTTGTCTTTTTTGTCGTTTACAGTTACAATGGCCACGGGGACGGCTTCCAATTCTTAAGCGAATCCCGGTTGAAAAAGTTACGAATCAACGCTGTTGTCTTGCTCTTCGGATGCGGCAGCGTAAAGTTGGATGCTGTTGGTGCAGAGTTGGAACCGACTGGGACTAGTCAAAACTACATAACCGCTTGCAGGTATTTACATTATTATATTTAAATAATAGGTACTTTTGTACCTTCTTTAGAAATTTAAAATCAATTTAATATCTTCTGTTCTTTATTGTTGTAGTCCGTGTACAGTTGGAATGCTGTGGAGCGTCACCGATACCGACACCGATATACTATCGACAGATTTTTTGAGCCGCTGGATCCCATCGAAGGCGAAAGTGCATTGGAGGAATTTGGACAGGAAGGCTTGGGAGTTAGCGGTCGAAACAAACATATCTAACTTGCAAAAGAACGATGAGAAAGTTACACATCAAGTGTCCGAGTTGCTGACCGCTCTTGTCAAATCTAAGAAAGCCGCCAATCAGTATATTACGCAAGCAGCGTGCGTGGCGCGCGGCATCCCAGTTAAACTAAAATACTAATTTTCTTTTCAAACTTGTATATTTAATTAAAATATAAATGTTATATAAGACTCTTAAGCAGTAGTTAAAATGCTTACTTTTGGAATAGTCAACAAATCTTCGATAAAACCAGGAGAAAACTCCAAGGATTTTAAATCACATTTGTTCAATTGACACACTTGATTCTACCTATTTGATATTCTACTTATGTACAGCACTAGCACAGATCTTAAACAGATTCCTTCTTGTGTTTGGCAAGCACAGTTTTCATTGCCTTCATTACAGATGGTATAAGTTCAACATGTTTGTCTACACATTTCACTGCACAGTTCTCAAACATTAGACTGTAACGATTCACCTAAAATTATGCATGTTAATATCTCATCAAGTAAATATTTACGGTTTAATACTTCTGATTCTGAGGGATTTGGTCCCATTTTAAGTTTAATATCATCATTGCATTCCATAACGCATCTTTGAAGTCTGTTCTGCAATCCTTCCAATTCTGATTGTACATATCCTTGAGACTTATTCAGTGGACCTGAGCAGTGTTCTACACATTGTTGAACTCTTTCCAAAGATACAGATTTATCGTCACAACACTTCGCCGCACATCTGTGCATATCAGCCTGAAATTATCAAACTCGTATCTGGCTACTCACACTTTATAACCTACAAATATTTACCTGCATTTGCCTTAAATATTGTTTATCCAATTCATCAACCAATTTGGTCATTTCCTGCTCAACCCTTTGTCTTTGTTGCTCAACCATTTTTATTACTTAAATATTAAGTACTTTAATATTCAATTAATTAAGTTATTAGAGGTTATGCTTATTTATATATTGGGGAAATTATTACTTCTGGATGTGTATAACTGACTAATTGGATTTGTTTCTATTTGTTGGCGACCTGACAAAAGTTCTATAGTTGGTAACAGTGTTGGTTGTGACTTTTAATTTCTCTACATTAACGAAAAACAATTCGCTGTTCCGCTTGAGATTAATTAATTTTGGAAAGTCTCTGAATTATTTAAATAACCAATTTATTTTGTGTACCTACTATTAAAGATTTTGCCGTGAGGAAAATCCACAATGCCTTGTTACAAAGGTGAGTTGTTCTAGGACTCCTTAACCTTACATTCGCCGGTCCACTGACGTTTATAAATGCCTAATCATGAAATTCTGTTATTGTTCTTATTTCAGTTAAAGTTAAATGGGGCAAAGAAACATTCCCTGACATTGAGGTCAACACAGATGAGCCACCTATGTTGTTCAAGGCCCAACTGTTTGCACTTACTGGTGTTCAACCAGAAAGGCAGAAAGTTATGGTCAAAGGTGTTACTCTAAAGGATTCTGATTGGGATAATTTCAAATTGAGAGAAGTGAGAACTGATCAATATATACTAATCATTGTGTATGCTAATGTTATCCTTAACTCTGTGAAAAGGGTATTGCAGTTTTGTTAATGGGAAGTAAGGAGGAAGATGTGCCCATTGAACCTGTTGAGAAGACCCTTTTTGTTGAGGACATGAATGAATCTGAATTGGCAACTGCTGTACTATATACATATGATTGATGTTATTGTATTTTTAATCTTATTTTGTTTTCAGCTTGACTTACCTGCAGGTCTTACAAATTTAGGTAATACATGTTACATGAATGCAACTGTCCAATGTTTGAAATCTGTTCCTGAACTGAGGGACGGATTGAAGACTTATCAAGGAGGTGAGAAAACTTGTATTTTCTGTATCTTTGTCAATAATATAATGAATATCAGCAGTTACTACTATTGGTGGTGTTGTACCAGCACAGTCAATTACTGCAGCCATGAGAGATCTATACTCAACAATGGACAAGGGCAGTTCTGTGCCACCAATAGTTTTACTACAAGTACTTCATTTGGCATTCCCAAGATTTGCTGAAAAAAGTGAACATGGTGGATATGTACAACAGGTACACATATAAAAATTTATACATCTCAGATTTGGAAGATTTAATTGTCATAATTCTGTTTAGGATGCTAATGAATGCTGGACAGAATTGGTTAGAATGTTGCAACAGAAACTACCAGCAAAAGCAAATGGAACTGACAATAAGTTTAAGTGAGTCATTTAATTCAATAAGAGTTAATATTTTAGTTAAATCAATCAATTATATTCTCTATTTAGATCATTGATTGATCAATATTTTGGAGGTACATTCGACGTGGAATTGAAATGCGTAGAATCAGAGGATGAGCCAGTTTCTCAAAGTAAAGAACAATTCTTACAATTGAGCTGTTTCATATCTCAAGATGTCAGATATATGCATTCTGGACTAAGATCTGTAAGGAATACACTGTTATTCACGAATACAGTAAATTAATTATGTTTGTTTCAGAAAATGCAAGAGCAAATTACTAAAATGGCCCAATCACTCAACAGAGATGCCGTATTTACTAAATCGGTAAATATATAATTTCATTTCACAAGTTTCTAAAACTACAATATTAATAAATTTTATTTGATTTAAGTCTAAAATAAGTAGATTGCCTGCTTATTTAACCGTACAATTTGTAAGGTTTTATTTTAAAGAAAAAGAAGCTATTAACGCAAAAATCCTAAAGGATGTTAAGTTCCCGATGGACTTTGATGCATTTGAATTGTGCACTCCTGAATTGCAAGAGAAGCTAGCGCCAATGAGAGCAAAGTTTAAGGTAGTCATAACGTCAACGTGTACAACTTTTTTTTAAAAAAATTATTTTACAGGAGCAAGAGGATGCTTTAGTAGAAGAGTCTGGTCAGAAACAGAAGAAGGTTAAAAGTAACGGGGATAACCAAGTGAAGCCAAAAACTGCTCCATATTCTTTTGATGATGGTATTTAAAATAATTATTATATATTATATTATGTATACATTGGTAATTTTGCAGATTTGGGTAGCAACAATAGTGGTTATTATACACTCCAAGCTGTTTTAACTCACCGAGGTAGATCATCCTCGAGTGGGCATTACGTGGGTTGGGTAAAGCAGACAAACGATACTTGGATCAAATGTGATGACGATACTGTTTCTCCTGTCACCGTCGAAGATATTTTAAAGTTATCCGGCGGAGGTAAATATCATTGTTTTGTTTTAATTGAAAATCATTATATTTCCATAGACGTTGAGAATTGTTGTACAAACAGCTCAATAACCTCAGAAAAAAAATATATTTTTCCAGAAATTGCAACTATATTTATAAATATTAATTTTTCCTTCTTGATTTTTAGGAGATTGGCACTGTGCTTATGTATTATTGTATGGACCAAGGTTATTGGAGATTCCAGAAGAACCTATGGTAACAGAGTAAATTAATTAAAAAGATAAACAAAAATACTATTGATTGCTTTACACTATCTATTCTCTGTATAATTATTTTAAATAAACAATATCATTATATAACATCTACATGTTACTAAAAATTGGATAAATTTAGAAACATCTTCTAAACTCAGCATATGTACAGCTGAGAATGTGAATGTATACTGGTTAATTTAAAAAAAAAAAATATTAAAAAATCTTGTTGTATAATTTAAATATCTTTTATCTTATAACAAATGTTTCAATAATATCTGATGTACCTATCCAAGACCCTCCACATGCCTCCACACACCTCCATTTAAATCATGGTAAATTTCTTTTAAATATTGTTAGTTTCTTTTTAAAGTGCGTGATTTATTCTCATTATTTTTATATCTAGCAAGACCTAACATGTATTATGCTAGTAAAGTTGCATACTTCTAGTATTTTTTTTAGAGTGGAAGGAACAGAAGAAGAAGAAAGGGGTGTGGCTATGTGTGTATTTTTAGTATACTAATAGAATATAATCAAATCTGTTGCTACATTCACTCGGTTCGTTGATATTGATATGTGAGTTTAGGTTTGGAGGTAGTGTGGATATTAATAAGTGTAATAACAATGTTTTGTTGTTAATACTATATTGTGTGAACTAGAATTATTGAAAGTGTAGTGAGAGAAAAGTAGCGAAACAAGGCTGAATCGGATCGAGGTCTACATTTTGACCTGATCAGACTGTTATTATAATTTGCAATTGCTCTTATTGTCTATTTATATATTCTGTGATGTCAATGTTGGGACAAAATCAGTCACAAATGTACAAATTAGTTATAGTGGGCGGGGGTGGTGTCGGAAAATCCGCAATCACATTGCAATTCATACAGGTAAAGTATTTGAAGGAATGGAACATCTAAAAAAGACCTTGTAGTAAAGCCTACACACATAACACCAATCATTAAACCCACATTCACTGAATAAACATACTGGATTTAATTTTAGAGCTACTTTGTAACTGATTATGATCCAACAATCGAGGATTCATACACTAAGCAATGTGTAATAGATGACATCCCTGCAAAGTTAGATAGTAAGTCCATTTCAAACAAATATTGAACAATTATCTAGAGTGTGGTAAACAGTTTTAGATACAGCTGGCCAAGAGGAATTCAGTGCCATGAGGGAACAATATATGAGATCTGGTGAAGGTTTTCTGCTGGTATTTTCAGTGACTGAAAGGCCAAGCTTTGAGGAGATGACCAAGTTCCATAGGCAGATTCTCAGAGTCAAAGATAGGGATGAGTTTCCAATGCTCATGGTTGGAAATAAGGTTTGAAATTTTATTATTATCTCATACAGTTGCAGTTTTAACAAATGATTGTATTTATTTTTTTTTTCCTGTAAGGTTGACTTGGAGACACAGAGGGTGGTTTGGCAGGAGGAGGCTCACGTTCTTGCAAAGCAACTGAAGATTCCGTACATTGAATGCAGTGCGAAAATGCGAATGAACGTGGACAATGCATTTTATGAACTCGTGCGGGTCGTGAGGAAATTCCAACAGTCGGAAAGGCCTCCAATCAAACAATCACACCTCAAAAATAAAAGGAAGAAGTGCTGCTTGTTTTAAAGTATTACTACTTTCTAATATAATACGTATAGCTATAATCTGCTAATATACTCTGTAACAAGTCCGAAAGCATCACAATTTCTGAGCGCACACACAGATTCGCTTATTTTATTTTTTTTTTTAAATTTTCCATACATGATATTTTGTATATATATATTTATATACAAGTGTGTACCAAAATTAACGAATGTAGTGGAAAACAGAAGTGAAATCAAACAAAACCAACACCAATTTTATTTTTATATTGTATAAAAGATAATTAAAAAAAAAAGAAGATATATATATACATACACATATGTAGACATACAATCAAATATATTTTTATAAGCTTCGGAAGTAAATTGCTTTAAATAGGATTGAGTATACTCACTGCCAATCAAAATGTTTGAAGGAGAAAGAAACTAACTTTGTCAATTAACTATTAATTCTTAATTTAAACGGAACTCTGTTTAATTCAAATGAATGTCGTCTTCCCTAAAGTTATATAATCTGTTTACTTTTATTTTACTTGATTATATTCCTTTGACAAATATTTTATGTTGCTTGGTGCTAATTCAAATACTACAATGTAACGAAATGAAAGAAGCAGTAACATTTTTATTCTTCAATAAAATAAAATGTAACAAAAAAAAAATATATATATATATTTTATTTGGTTGTATTAAAAGATATAAAAATAATATTTAATAAATGTTTTAAAAATAAACTTGGACACACATTGTTAATATATCACCTAATTAATCACTATCATCACTGGAAACAATTATACGTTTCCTCTTGTTCTTCTTTTTAGTCTTGTAATTTTTTTCGGCGACTTCGACCTCTGAAAGGGATTGGGTGTATTCAATAGAACTTTCGTTGACGCAAAACGAGTCCTATAAAAATCCAATTTTACGCAATTCCTAATTGAAAACAATATTGTATAACTTACGTTGACGTAAGAATCATCTCCATGGCTATCTGATTGAGAATATATAGATGGGTCGTATTTGTTCGGACGTTTTGGTATTTTAAATTTACCAGTATTCGTTGAACACCTAAAATGTATAAAATTTACGAAATCTTGATTTGTGTATGCAAGGAAAAACATACTTGGTAGTTTTTAAATAATGCGCGTGCATTGAAGTGGATTCTATCACGCTCTCATCGTTGACGAAACTCGAATCTAGCTGATCCATACAATGCTCATCTTCATCCTCACTGCACTCGAAATCCGTAGAAACGTCCGCCTCGTCGTCAATTAGCTTATCGTTAATTCTTTTCCGCTTTGCGTAGACCGGCGATTCGCTGCTGGTACTACTGAACGAAGTTCTATTATTAGGAGTCATCTTCTTGCGATGGGACACCTTTCTCGCCGGCGATTTAACGTGAATATCTTCGAAATCTTCTTCGCTATCGAACGAATATTGAAACAAACTTTCGTCCAATTTTTCTTGACGTTTCGATTTGCTTTTAGTTTCTTCTTTACTTGACAACGGACGGAAGAAGTCTGCTATTGACTCGTCGCAGAAATCGTCTAATCCTATTTCTTTCAACACATTTTTCGAACCCACCTCTTTTTTCTTTCGCTCCGACAGTTTTTGCGACAACTTTTTGATAGTCGATTTCGGTGTGCGAATTACAGGGTTCGGTATCACTCTCTCAGGACTATCGAACAGATCGGGTGAAATATTTTGTAAACGTTCCACCAATTCTTTGGGCTTCAATGATTTATTCAGTATCGGCGAAGTACTGCCGTTCGATTTACTACACGTTGAAAGATTAGTGCTCGTATCGGAACTATCCAGTACCTCTATTATTTCAGGTGATTCAATGATCAATGTTTGACGACTCGAAGAACTATTTAAGATTGGCACGTTCTTTACGACTTTTGCAACTCGTTCGCATCCCGGTGAAAGATCCGAGTAAAGTCGTTTCTTCGCCATATGATTATTAACAGTTCTATTTTCTATACTACCAATAATCGGTGATTCCAAATCCAACATTTGCAAAGTATTAGGTGAGCAGATGATTGTTGCATCTGGATCATATTTATCAATGAATAAATCCTCCAAAGATTTTAATTTGAAGAATTCTAAAGTTGATTCAAAAATAAATTTCATTTCACTAATAGTGAAATCCTCGAAATCATTGTCGCTGCTTATATCCTGACTAGCATCACCGAAATTACGGGAATTTTGAACTGATTTTTCCGATGATAGATTAAAAGTATCATCATCATTATCAGGAAATGATTCATTGCGCGAAATCTGATTAAAACATTGTTCCTCGGTTTCTTCTTTGCCTGAAAATAAATCATTACGCAACGTTTCATTGAAACACTCGTTCTTGTTTTCTTCATCGTCTTGAAATATATTACTATCGTTTTCCAAATTTGAAATACATTCATTGACATTAAAATGTGCTTGTTTCTCAATATTAATTGTTCCATTGACATTAAAATGTGTGCTTTGCCGGTCAACATTTTTAGATGATTCACGCATTCTTATCAAGTTTAATTTAGCATTAGTTATATTCTCCTTTATAAAACTTGTATTTGCAACGTTTGTTTTCTCGAGTTTATGAATGACTGGAAAAGATTCATCACTAGAAGTCCTTCCAATAATTGAATTATCCATTTCTTCTTTGTATTTCGAATTAGTCAAGACTGAGAAATCAAGATCCTCAAACATGTCGTCGTTTTCGTCAAATTCTTCAGCATTTGATCCATGTAAACTAAACGTATCCAAGTTATCAACATTTGGAGGTTTATAATTGGAAAAGTCGAAATCACCCAACTTTGGAAAAACATGCACATCGCACGCAAACAAATGTTTGCATGTCTTACATTCATTCTGATTTCCAATAAGAAAATAGTTTGTAATCTCTTTCAGCAATGATTCTACATTTTCGTCTGTTTGACTTAAGGGAGTCAGAGTGCCCAATTCGCTTGATTGCGTTGCTTGCTGTTTGAACATAGAGCGAATGTCCGTTTGTTTCTTTTGGACGACATTCAAATTGATTTTCTTTACTAAAAAGAAGATATATTAGTTTTATATGGTTATAGATTAAAGGTATTACCAGGAGATATGGGCAGATTAAAACGTTTCGCTTCGGCATATTCAACCAAATATCTTAAAATATTTGTATCGTCTGATGGAGTTATTGTGCTCTTATTTTTAGTTCTGCAAAAAGTTAATGTACAATCATTACTGCAAAGTTTGTTGCCCAAAGACACAAAATTTCCGACATCTGGTATCCTGTTCTTAAATTTAATTTGTTCGCTGTTCATCATATTATTAAACATTGAAATTAAATTTGAATTTGTCTGCTTTTTCTTTTCTTTTTCGATGGCGATAATACTCTTCATGCACGTCGGTTCAATTTCCGGTGGAACCATCCTGATATTGGGCTGCTTTTTCAGTTCTTGCTTCAATTCCCGCGAGTTCATCAACTGAGAAATTAAATTCTGTTTGTGAGCCAGAACATCGCGTAGTGATTCTTGCTCTTTGCNNNNACCCATTCTCTGGATCATCCTCACCGTAGACTTATTGGAAACATCAAAACAAACCACTAAATCTACTTCGCCCACGTCTAAACCCTCCTCTCCCACAGATGTTGACACCAAGGTATTGCATGTACCTTTCCTAAAAGAGTCCAAAACCTAAAAGCTAATATATTTACAAAACGTAACTAAACTTGATTCAATACGTACGGCAATTTGTTGCTTCTGCGTTATTGAACCTTGTCCAACAAATATTTTGGGTTTTATCAAATCTTTGTTCATCAACAATATAGTATACGCTTCAACGACGCTTTCCTTGTACTCACAAAACACAATAGCTTTACTATTTTGACCAAGATTTTTAAAATGGCCTAATAATATTTCAGCTAAACGATAAAATTTTGGATGTCCGAATTTTGTATCAGAAGGTACCTTAAGTTTAAAAACAAAAATTGGTAGTTGCTCTTTCTCAAATTTAAGAAATGTTACCTCGGGTAGTGAACCGTCTGGCAGTTTATCAACGTTCGGAATGTGTCCCAAATAGCAACGAACGTCTTCAACCAAATTTGTAATATCCGAATTAGATCGAATCAGATTTTTATCAGAGTTGTCTAAAGTTTACAAACAACATAAATGAAAGGTGCTCAAATATATAATTACTCAATTACCATCAAAATATTTCATAAAACCACGCAAACCATGTTGCACCAGGAGCTGAAACGCATGGTATAAGATGATGCAAATGTTCAAATTTTTTATAATTTCACCGTACGCTGGAATTCTAAGACATAATTAAGAAAATTCAATAGAATCGAAAATAGAAAATACCTGTTCATGCTGTTAGCCTTTTTAAAGTCTTCTAAAATGTAAAAGAAACGTCCTTTACTCAGGTTAGCGCAGTTTCCTTGAACGATCCTGTGGTGCACCAAGATTCTAACATATCTATCTAAAATCTTTTTTTTAAGTTTTTACACGCATTTCGCTTAATTTTGTTTAAACTTTTGCAAACCTTTAAATAATTATCATAGACTTGCTTCAGTTTTCCATCGAATCGCACAACAACAGTTTCCACTGTCCTTTTGCAAATGTATTGGGCAACATCTTGGCTTTCTTCATTTCTCGCTTCTAAATGCGAGATCAATAAACTATTACATACGGTGATGACATCAGAGATGTTCGAACCCGGTGTCGCGCTAAGAGCCAAGACGCGAAAATATTTATTAAATGGCAAAATTTGCTTTATAACTTCGCAATAAGCATAATTTCCTCGGGCCCTATGCGCTTCATCAAAAACCAAACATTTTATTTCCTTAGCAAGCTTCAATATCCTATCTAAATCATTCTGTAAAACTTGTGGCGTTATAAAGAATACCCTCTTTTGTGTCCAAATATCATTTCTATTGGACTTTGTTGTTGAACCTATTGATAAGAATTGATATTTAAAAGTTGGAATATGACATATTTGTACAGAATGTTACCTGTAAGTTCTGCAGTCATATCCTTTGGTATCGCTACAATATTGTAACATGCTTCAATCTGCTGCTTAACAAGTGGTCTTGTAGGGGCCATAAAGATAATTTTACCATTAGGGTACCATCGAAAATAATTATACATAACAACTGCAGCAATGAATGTCTTTCCCAAACCAGTTGGCAATGTAACCTATTCAAATGTTTCCAGTAAAGAGACATGCTTTTTAAATATAGATTGTGGATGTACATACCATAGTATTTTGTAATAAAGCTTTTTCAACAATTTTAAATTGATAATCACGAATAGGTAAATTTGTTGGATAAATCCATGTTTTCCCGCCATGTAAATCAAAACCTTTTGTTTCCTCATTGCTGCACAAATTATACCTTAAATTAAAATAAATATATATTGAATATGTAAAACACGTTAAACTATTTATTACCCACAATCCATATCACTAATATCCACTACAAAAAAAATAGAATATAACCTACAAGAACCCACAAATATAAACAAAACAAATAACGCTGTTCTGCTACTGGTCAATGCTGAAACTCTTACCAACACTGTATTGACCAGTTTGACAACTTACGATATTTACAAATTTTTTGAATTTAAATAATCAGATTAACATTTGTATTTTTCATCATATTATTATTATTTAAACAATATATAAAAAAAATAACTTTAATTTTAATATTTGATTAATGAGAAATAAGTAACAGTAGTGAAAAATGTAAATGTTTATTTGTTAAATTTTACATTTAAATACATGTTAACCTTGTGTGTCAAATATTTGTAAGTTAATTATAAGTATCAAGTGATAATAAAATAAAAGAAGTATTTGCATTGCATTTTAACAATTCTTAATAAGTGATGAATACAAAACTAGTTGAAACATGTAACTTTTCAATATATTTATTCACTAAAATATGCTTAATTTTCTATTTATATATATACGTTTGATTTCCATTATAATAAAAATATAATCTATATACATGGGAAACATTACATGCTTTTGTTTGTTTTTCATTCTAGTCACATTTTAAAAGGAAAACCAACGAATCATGAAAAAGACATACACTTATTAGAAACAAATGCAAAACTTCAGTCTTTTGCTAATTGAAAAGTAGAAAAAAAGAAAAGAAAAAGAAAACAAGTTGAAAATGAAGATCGCTAACATTCTCGATCGTTACATATTTAAATAATACCCAACTTAACGAATATAATTAAAAAAAAAACACGATTATCTATCCATTTAATCCTGATCGGGATTCGGACTAGTAGGAGAATAGCCTGGTGAAGATGGCGAGTACCTAGGTGGCTGCGGGGAGAAAACTGGACTCGCAGGAGAATAGCTTGGACTTGTCGGCGTGTATGTTGGTGAAGTGGGAGAATACTTTGTACTGTGGGGGGAATATTGCGGGGAAGTTGGTGAATAGTTCGGACTGGTCGGCGAGTAGTTCGGCGACGAAGGAGAGTAACGTGAACTTGCGGCGGGTGTGTGTTGAGGAGAAGAGGGTGAATAATTTGGCGATGTCGGTGAATAGCTGGGCGAAGTTGGTGAATATTGGGGACTGCCGCCTGCAAAACTGGGACTGGTCGGAGAGTAGTTTGGAGAGGTAGGTGAATACTTCGGTGAGGAAGGTGAGTACGACGGAGAGGCTGGTGAATATTGTGGAGAGGATGGGGAATAAGATGGTGAATTAGGAGAATAAGCTGGAGAATGTGCAGCGTACCTGGGGGACGATGGAGAGTAAGAGGGAGAACTGGGCGAGTAGCCCGGAGAAGTCGGAGAATAGTTGGGACTAGATGGTGAATACGTAGGTGAAGTCGGCGAATAACCAGGAGACGTCGGAGAATAATTTGGAGATGTGGGTGAGTAATTAGGCGATGTTGGGGAGTAACTGGACGACGTCGGCGAGTAACTTGGAGAAGTTGGCGAATAACCCGGGGATGTCGGCGAGTAACTGGGAGATGTTGGTGAATAATTTGGAGAAGTCGGCGAATATCCGGGACTTGTTGGAGAATAGCTCGGAGAAGTTGGCGAGTAGCTCGGCGACGTCGGAGAGTATCCGGGACTCGTTGGTGAGTAATTCGGGGATGTTGGACTGTAATTGGGCGATGTTGGAGAGTATCCAGGAGAGCTCGGCGAATATCCCGATGATCCCGGTGTCATACAAGGCGAGTTCGGCTGATACGAAGGTGATGCAGGGCTGTAAGATGGTGATGCGGCCCTCGGAGATGCACCAAATGGTGACATACCAGGAGATTGTGCCCACGAATATCCAGGTGACATTCCCGATGCATCGGAAGCAGCGGATGGTGAAAAGGACGGCCCACCAGGGGTCATACCACTGCCTAATATATCTGTAAAATGTAAATCAAATTAGAACAAAACTTAGAACGGTAACGGTAATAAATGATAATATTACTTGGTGTATTCCATACGCTGCCAGCGTTGTACGGTGTAGCACCTTGATTCCAGGGTGTCATTGAACTGCCAGGACTCATGCTTGGAGTAGCTGCAGACCCAAAGAACATGCCGCTGTTCATCAAGTCGGCTCCTTGTGTTTGCGGAATCGCAATTGCACTCTTGCACTTGTCGGCGTCCAAAAGCAAATCAAAACAGCCGGTGCCCATACGGGGTAATTGTCCCATAATAATATTCTCTGATACACCTCTCATCGGATCTACTTCAGCATGTGAAGCGGCGTCCAACAACACATCAACAGTTTCCTCGAAAGAACATCTCATAAGTGCACCAGTATCTTGCCTATTGATACCGTGACGGGTGATGGCCATAAGATGACCCTTTGCAGTCATTACGTCGCAAAGCAAAGCGAGATGACGGTAGTTTACGTAAAGACCATAGAACTGAAGTACGGCATTCATTTCCTTCTCAACCGACTTACGCACAGCTTCTATACCCAATACAGCAAAAATCTCACAGATGTCGTTTGAGAATGTTCTCACAGGATCGACGTCCCTCTCGGATAATACTTTCATCATACTTGTGCCATCAGTTTCCAACAACCATTCAGCAATAGCTTTAAACTCTCCAGTTTCTGTAATGACAATTCTCTTTTTGCTGTCCGTTTGTGGCAAGTGCATGTACACTTTGGCAATAGCTTCAATGCCCTGCAATGTCATATCTGACAACATATTAGCTTCAATGCAGCGCAAGAACATGTCGTCGTCCATTTTATCCACATCCTCATCAGCGGAGTCACCGAATTTCCCATCGTCGCTATTCATGATTCGAATACGCAACACCAATTTTTCTGCATTGTCATCATTGAAGATGCAATTCAAGTCATCTCCGAATCCGGCGTTGATTTTTTCGGCAATCTGTTCCATTGTTAATTTTTTGTCTGTCATACGTTTTCTGTCCAGTTCGATACGCAGCAGCCAAGGAGAAATGCGAGTTGGATCAAAGTCAGGCATTTCGTAGTAAACATTCACAAATTCTTGATCCTCCGGAATAACGGTGTTTTGTGGATCAGGATCATAGTAAATAGCAGTGTTTGCTGTTACTTTCCTAAGTGTCGTATGTTCCAAACGGCACAATACGTTCTTAGCCTTTTCCGCATCTCTCGCTGCTGCTCCAGTTAAGAACACTGTTAGAGACGGAGCTTTTGGCTTCTTAGATATATTAATAATTTCTTTCAAACGGGGTACACCAAGGGTTACGTTTTTCGATGATACACCAGCAAAATGGAAAGTGTTCAGTGTCATCTGAGTGGCAGGTTCTCCAAGAGATTGTGCAGCTAATGCTCCAACCATTTCACCTGGGTTAGCTTGCGCTTGTTGGAATCTCGTTTCAATTTCACCAATAAGCCACTCGAAAGCTTCCGTGCTGAGCCTGAATTCTTCTGATACGCATTTCGTACAGAGAGTAGATCTTACCAAGCATTGGAAGAGCAGTGTGGCGTTTTCGTTAGCTTGAACTGATAACCTATCGGTGCCCGCTACAATTATACAACGTTGCAACAATTCGCGAACACCTTGGATCACTCTTATAGGTGATAAATCAGTAGGAGCACGTTTGTTGATATGGAAAATTTTCTGCACGTTCCAAATCATACGCTGTAGATTGCAAGGCAATACTACTTTCGGATCACCGCTGGGGAAAATTTGCCGAAGAGCTTCTCTGTCCTTTTGAAGCTGATCCCATTCTCTTTCCAATTCGGAGATAACATCGCCGGAGCCCATCATTTGCTTGATTACATCTTCGTTAAAAACACGTCTTAAGTAACGTTCGTTACTTGCGTCAAATCTAAATTTCCTTTCGAATGCTTTGTTACTTAGTTTAATTGTGGGTAACGTTTGGAATTCCACCATTTCACCGCATAAACCATCTTCGCCATAACGCAATTGAATCAGTTGACCTACTGAATTTCGCACAGTTCCATCATAATGTACCATTACGGATTCCATAGCCTTAATCAAACGACGTTGAATATAGCCAGTTTCTGCAGTTTTTACGGCTGTATCAATGAGACCTTCACGACCACCCATAGCGTGGAAGTAGAATTCAGATGGTGTTAAACCGGCAAGGTATGAATTTTCTACGAACCCTCTTGACTCGGGACCATAATCATCTTTGATAAAGTGGGGCAGTGTCCTTTTTCTGAAGCCAAATGGAATACGTTTACCTTCTACGTTTTGTTGACCCACGCAAGCAATAACTTGGGAAATATTAATGTTGGAGCCTTTAGCACCAGATACCACCATAGCTTTTAAATTGTTGTATTCGGTAAGGGACTTCTTAGCAGAACCGCCAGTTTTATCACGAGCATCGTTCAAGATTCTGTTCACTTGATTTTCGAAAGTCTGCCTCAATGTGTTACCGGGCGTTGGCTCGAGTTCCATGTTGTGAGCTTTTTGAATAACCTCTATTACATCTTCTTTTGCTTTCTTAATAGCTTTCTGAATTTCCAAATAGGTTTGAGGATCAGCAATAGTGTCTCCAATACCGATACTGTGTCCTTCCAGAAGTAGCCAGTTGTTAATTACAGTTTGGATGTTACCATAAAACCGACCACAAACTTCGTGTCCCAACTCCAACATACAGATATGGAGCAAAGAACCGGCAGAGGTACCCAGAGTTTTTTTACATAAAATTCCCATGACTAATTCTCCATGCTCTACCATTACTTTCGTATCTCCAGGTGAAATCCATTTATATGGTCCATCATCTTCCTCGTCAGGATGTGTAGAATGCGTGCGGATCATATTTACATTTCCGGGAATAATTAGAGAAAAGATCTGTTTTCCTGTCCATAGTGGTTTGGGTTTCAATATTGCAGGCCTGGGCATTTTTCCATCCCAAATTGGTAAAAACATAAGTAAATTCATAATTTGTTCATGCGTAATAAACACATCTCTCTTCGTCATCTTACGGACAGCTGTTAAGGTGTCCTGTACAATACCCATGACGGGTTTGTTTGCCTGCGGTGTGATAATTTGTCTCGGCGTTATATGCAAATTTTCAACTTCGGCACGAGTCTCCATGCTTTGAGGTACGTGCAAATTCATTTCATCCCCATCAAAATCGGCATTGTAGGGTGAGGTGCAGCTGAGATTCATCCGGAAAGTGGACCACGGTAATACTTTAACCCTATGACCCATCATACTCATTTTATGGAGTGTAGGTTGACGATTGAAAATAACCAAATCCCCGTCGCGGATATGACGTTCCACTTTGTAACCGCACTGCAAATGAAGATCGGAAGATTTCGGATGGAATCGTAAATCTATCCTCTCGCCGTTGTCTCGCACAATATATTTAGCACCTGGATATTGCGAGTTTCCTCTTTGAACTAATTCCAACATTCTAAATGCACAGATCAAATTAATATTATAGTGTATAATGTTTTCTAGATACTTACTTATCAAAGTTGAAAGGAGTAACAATTTCAGGGAACGTAAGATTCTGAGCAATACTTCTAGGGACGCCTACTTGATCGATTCGAAGATTTGGATCTGGTGTGATTACAGTACGTGCGGAGAAATCCACACGCTTTCCCATAAGGTTTCCACGAATACGTCCTTCTTTTCCCTTTAGACGGGCTTTTATTGCTTTCAACGGTTTGCCAGATTTCTGCATAGCCCTTGGCATACCGGGCATGTCGTTATCAACTAATGTGGCAACGTGAAATTGCAGCATTTTAATATTTTCTGAAAGCACGTGGGCGGCTGCACCAGCAGCTTCATTTCGTTGCAACTCATTGTTTGCTTTAATGATATCAGCCAATTTATGTGTTAAATCGTCTTGATTTCTAGCTGATCCGTGCATGACTACAGCGGGTCTAACTGCTAAGGGTGGAACAGGCAGGCTGGTTACAATCATCCAATCAGGTCTTGCAAATTTAGGATCCATACCAAGGATGAAACACTCTTCATCTGAAGCAATATTTAATCATTAATTGTTTTCCGTCTTTAAACTGCATTGACTTACCTGTAATGTGTTTTAGAATTTCCCAAACCCTTTCAGCTGACAAAGCAATTTTCTTCTCTTGCGAATCTTCATTTATATGCTTCCATTCTGCTGTTAGATCAAGACCAGCTCTCTTGATATTTGGTTGGTAGCGACCACAACCACCATGTCCTTGCTTTTTTCCAGTTTGATTGGGATCTTCCCCTTCTTTACCTACGTCCATCTCATCACCACCCTCACATATATTTTTTCCCTTGCATAAATCATACACAAATGCCAACCTTTTACGTGGTTGACCCTTTGATTTTATAACAACCTCCTTAATTTTTGGATTATTCTAAAACGAGGATTCAATTAATAACTCATGATATTTTACATGTTTTGTTATTTTCTACTTACAGGACTGACAAGAAGTTTACTGCAGTAGAAACAGACGCATCTTAATATTTTTATAGTTTTTGTAACAAAGCCAACATGGAATACAGGTTTGCTTAGATCAATATGCCCAAAATGTCCTGGACATTCAGTCATGTTGCCTGCACAAGTGAGACACCGAGAATTTCTATCGATGACTCCCTGTCTGGGATCCATGAGGCCACCCAACTTTGGGCGACCTGCTTCCATTGTCTCAGGGAACTTAAGCCCTCCATCAGTAACTGACATACGACGCTAAAGGGAAAACATAAAAATATTATACTAATAGTATAAACATATCAAATTATTTGGAAATATTCCATTTTATCAATA